GGCCCCGCCGGCGGCCGGGGAAGAGATCGGCTTTGTGGGGAAGGGAGGGCCGGGGCGACAAAGGGCCACTTGTGTCCGCCTTCTTCCTCTCCCCTCCGGGGCCAGATGCCCATTGGTGTCCTTGCCCAGTGCCCCTTGTGTTGCTTCCGGGACCTGGTGTCCCTCCCTGGATGCTCACCTGTGTCCTCTTGGGTTGGGCACCCAGCTGTGTCATCCTTGGTGCCGGGTGCCTGTTTGTGCCTTTGCCTGGCTGCCCACCCGTGTCCCCCAAGGGACTGGCAGGCATCTGTGTGCCTCCCTGGACACCCACCCGTGTCCCTTGGGGGTCCTGGGCAGCATCTGCCCAAACCGTGGAGGTGAACAGGTCCCTTTCCAGTTTCCAGCCCACAGAGAGGGTTGTACGGCCCCCCCCCTGCCCTGTCCCGGCAGCAGCCCATCTGCTTGAAACCTGCCTTGCTGGGGCTTGATATGAATAATCCAAAGCTGCTTTGTGTGCCCCGTCCCCTGCCAAGAAGGGCTCAGCCCTGTGTCGGTGGGGTTTTGGCACTCCCCTCCCCACCAGCGTGTCTGGGGCTCAGCACTAACTGGGTGGTTCAGGGGTCTCCTCCCAGGCTAACACAGCCGTGTGCTATCGGCCCTAAGAAGGGATGGTTTGTGTGCCGAGATAAGGGGTAGCGACGTGCCCCTGAACTTAAAGAATGACCTGGCTGTTACTCCCTGGCTGCGCTGTTTTCTGGTGGTGATACACGGTATCTACCCCAGCCACCCCAGCCATGGGGGTTGAGAGGCTGTTGGGGTCCTGTCCCTGCAGCCCCTGTGGCACCGTCCTGCCCAGGGTTTCTAGGACCTGAAGAGCTGCGCTCCTGCGCCTTGGAGCAAGCAGTGGCTGAATATGGGAGCGCTCGGCTCCGGAGCCTCCTCCGATGGAGGCAGCTGAAGGAGGACCCCTTCCTCTGCCTGCGATGGGGCGCGGGACCCCTGGGGACTGCACAGACCTCGCAGCCGCTGCGCGCCCGCTGACCGATTCCCTTCTCGCTTCCCTTGCAGAGCACTACAAACACCACTGGTTTCCCGAGAAACCTTTCAAAGGCTCTGGGTATCGCTGCATCCGCATCAATCACAAAATGGACCCCATTATCAGCAAGGCAGCCAGCCAGATCGGACTCAGCCTCCCGCAGCTCTACCAGCTCCTGCCCAGCGAGCTCACGCTCTGGGTGGATCCCTACGAGGTCTCGTACCGCATCGGTGAGGACGGCTCCATCTGTGTCTTGTACGAAGCGACGGGAACAAAACCTGCGAGCTCCTATGGGATGCTCACCTGTAAGAACCAGCTGATGTTAGGTCGCACCAGCCCTTCCAAAAACTACATCATGACTGTCTCCAGCTAAATAACTCCTCTTGTCCTCACACTGCCAAGACACAGGCTACTGTATACCTCACCTGAGGATCTATTTTTAAGATGAAGAGCTATTTATATTTTTTAAGAAAATCCAAGAAAATCCAAAATTAAAACATTGGGCGCTGTTCTGAACAGAAGCAGTGCTCTAGGTGCCTTTTTTAAAGCTGTTGCAAGCTTACGAGTTTTTATTATGAAGCCGATATCTACCTAATTAGTGTTGGATGGCAATTTTGGGCTGACTTGCTCACTTGGGCAGCTCGGAATGGAGGATGAGGGGGAAGAGCCAGGCTGGGAAGTGTGGCTTGGTGGTGGGAAATGGCTGTGTCACCTTCTCACCATCCAGTATTGCTGTACTGCTGAGTATCGCAATACTGCTGGAGAAGGGATGAAGGACTTGCTGTCTTTCCTCCACCAACCCCTTCACTCCCCAGCTGGGCTGATCTCTCTGGATATAGCGTTTGGAGGAACCTTGGGTGATGCTGGGGACCCTGGGATCCCTCTCCTTTGCTCCTGCACATCTCTGGACCCGTTTACTTTGAGTGTTGCAGCTCTGCTCTGCCCCACTCCCAGCACAAACCCCCCCATCTTTCCTGTCTGCTGCTGGACTGAAAGGGGCTGCATAGGGCACTGGTGTCCTGTGAAGTGGAGCAAGGCAGAGATGCACCAGGGTCATGCTGTGCAGAGAAGGTCCTCGAGATGAATATTGCAGTTACTGTGGTGGCACTGGAGTGCTGTGCTTGTTCCTGGTGCTCCCCAGTACCTGCCTATCGCCCGCTGCCTGCTGCACACTGAGAAGGGGCCTCCAGACCCTGCAACCAGCACCAAACAGCTGTGAATTACAAAGCCTTTGGGCTGTGGGTGGCTTAAACATCAGCCCACAGCTTGTTCCTGTGCTCCACAAGTGGAGCCTGGCCTCTGTTTCCTGTAAAAGTTGCCTAATCCAGCGCTGACGACCTCTCCAGAAGAGCTGAAGCAACTCGCCTTGTGCCCTAGAGGTTGGTGTGCGAGAACCCCCTTTGCCCTAGCTCTTAAAATCAGCAGTTTTGGGGATCTCCTCCTCCTGTGTGTGGGATGCTGGTATGCTTTGGTGTCCTAACACTGCTTTTTAGAGTCACAGCACTTCTTCCCTCTCCTCCTCCGGGTGCTCAGCACGTAGCTGTCTCCACCGATACCTTGGTAAGGGGCATCGCTTGGTTCTGATCTCTTGGTACAAAACTATTTTGCACAATTAATGCCTGTTCCTGCACTCTGTCTATTCAAGCAGAACTCCTCTAGGAGTCCCAGTGGTACTTGTGTTCAGGGAGCCTTTGCCCAAGTATTGTTCAGGATTTGGCCTTTAAACTGCTCTGGCAATGGGGGTGGGAGCTGGAAGTGCTGCCCTGAGACTTCACCGAGTTTTTGGGAATAATGAGCCTTTACCAGGATGTTGGATGTGTCCATTGCCTTTTTGCTGCTCTGCAGTGATCCTGGGAGAAATGAGAGGAAAAGCAGGGCACTGACATGGGTGTTTGATGAAGCTTTCCCATGTCTCTCAGCACGCTTCTTTACCCTTCCTCTTTCCTGACGTGGCAGCTGAATGGCGTAACCAGAGTTGTTCTTGCCCAGCCTTTGGTGAATCAAGTTCTCAGACATTTGTGCAATATATTTCTAAATCTCGGGCGCTCTGGGAGAGGAAGGAAGCCTCCCATCTGCCACAGTTCTTAACCCTGGTTTGTTTTTTTTTAATATATTAAACCCCAAATCCAGCACAGTTCCCCAGCTCTGACTAATAACGTGGAGAAGTTAGTTTGGATTTTTGTAAGCTTCAGATCAGGAATTCCAGAACTGGAAAACCAGCCTCAATTCTCGGATCCCTTTAAAACGTCAAGGGGTGAGTTACTGGTCCTTGAACAGCAACTCCAGGCTGTGGCTCTGAGGTTGCGTCACTTCCCTCTCTATCACTTGAATTGCTCACATCAGCAAAGCAGAAGCTGAAACGCAGCACTGGGGCTTTTCCCTCGGTGAACTTGTGCAATAGGTGACCTCACCAAGAGGGGAGCACTTGGGAACTTCCAAATACCAAATTCCCTTTTCAAGGAAAAGGGATCTGGGTGCTTTTTGGGGTCCTCACTTAACCTGCATACACGGAAAGCCCACGATGAGAACCTCATTGAGGACGAGCAGCGTTTGCTTTGCTGGGCTCCTTGGCTGTGGAGCCTCCTGAAGGCTGGCACTTCCTTGGGTTGGAATTTGTGATTAAAGCAATGTTAAGATCTTCCCCCTTTTTTACTCTGTTCCCTCCTTACCAGGAAAGCTTTTCAGGAACACCAGCCCACACCAAAGGAATACACTAAAAATGCTCTTAACGTGCCCCCACTTCCAGCACCAAAACAGCCAAATCTCACTCATTTTGTCCCTGGTGTGGAGGAGTCTGATGTTAAAGGTGTCTGTTTGTATAACTCGGGTGTCATCCATTTCTCTCTTAGCTTGTTCCATGTAAAAGCTGTGAATTCCTGTGCTCTGTTGCCTTCTGCCTACAGCCCGATACTCGCCTGAGTGCTGTGTGTTTTAAGACAGTGTATCCGAGGGGTTTTCTGTTGTTTTCTCAACAAGCTGGACTGTTGACCGGGACCTGCTTTTTGTATTTGGTGAAAATGGTAGAGTTTTGTAAGCTACACTTGGAGGAGGGAGTGGATGGTTCCTAATTGTATAGTGGTGTTTTTATATCCCGAATGTACAGATCCTTTGACAGACGTATGCTTTTGTTACTTTAATAAAAATGTAGCAGTGCAAACGAGCCTTGGTTTCTTCGCTGTGCGCTTGCAAAGAGGGCGAGGGTTGGGATCGCAGCCCGAATTCCCCTTTGTGGGCTTGGTTAGGGCCTGGATGACTGCAAATATCCAGGAGGGTTAGAAAAAAGCTGCTTAGTCAAGGTGCTGACTCCAACCCTGACCCCTAAACCCACGAATTAGGGTTGGGAATGGGTCTGGTGATTAATGCAGGGCTGTGGGTGTCCTCCCTTCTCCTTCCCTGTGCTGTCTGCTGGGTTCTGGCTTGGGCAGGGTGGGTTTATTCAGTGTGGGGTTGTAGAAATGCCCTGTGCTGCCAGGGCATGAGGTGTTACATAGCCAGATCAACCCCAGGAATGGCATAAATGAAGTCTTGGAAAGAAGCAATTAATGAGCCCAGCCAGGCACGGGGGTGGTTCCTCCGCCTCCGCTGTTCATCCAGGGGTGACTGGGGAAGGGTGAGAGATCACAGGATTGAAATGTTTGGGTCTGGAGGATGCTCCGGGCCTGTCACGATAAAGGCAGCTGGGGCTGATTCACTGGAGATCCTGTTTTGGCTGAGGTGCGGAGCTGTAACCCTGCTCCTTGGGATGGGATGTCCAGCTTGTGGTTAACCCCATCTGCACTCAGCTTCAAGCTTTAAGGACCTTGGATAAATCAGCTCACGCTGGTTTTGGTCCAAAACTCAGTATTTTATGGGGTTTTGGAGGGCGGGAGTTGTAGCTCGCAGGGTCCTTGTGCCTCATCCCAACCTGTGCTGGTGCCTTCCTGTGTGGTGATGCTATGGGGGTGGCATAGGCCTGGTCCCACCACTACAGGGGCAAAGCTGCTTCTCCCCTCCTGCTTCTCCCATCACCTCCCAGAGGAAAACAATTTGTGGGCTGATTTTGGTGCTCAGTCAAAGCCGCTCCTTTTTGAGCTCAGCCCTTCATTAGTTTCCATAAACACACCCAAATTGCTGCTGCTTGTGAAACAGGGAGGAATGGGCGTCCCATTGGGTTGCTGATTAGCTGGGGAGTCATCCGGGTTCAAAGGCTCGCTGAAGTCGGGCGATGGCAGCCTTCCTCCCTCTGGCTTGCCCGGACCAGTGTGGTCTGTCTGGACCTGTGGTCTGTGGCCCATTTTCGGGCTGGTGTGGTCCTGTCTGCCATGGCTGGCGTTGGGGCCAGCAGGCAGAGCCAGGATCATCTCAACTCTCAGTTGCTCGCAGCAAGGATTAAAAACATGGCTCTTACGCCATGGTGTGCTGGGTGAGGAGTCGATGCTACCTGCGCCGCAACCGGATCCCCTGCCAGCCTTTAATAGGTGACTCATCTGCTATTTTTAATTTGCTCGTCATTCTTCTTCTGGCAGGATCATGATACCTGGTGTACGAGCTGGGTTAGCTGGGGGTGCATCTTTACCTGCCCCCCTCCTGAGGCCGCAGCTCTCGGCACCTCTTCTCATCATGAGAGTCCCCAGCGTGTCACAGGATCACGGGGACGCACCGTGCCCACCTCTGCCTGCCGAAATCTGCTCTGCCCAGCCTTTCGCTGGGTTCTGGTGGGATAAAAACCCGGGCTGAGCAGGGAGGTGTGGGATTCGAGGAGCCTGGGTCAAATGTTGTCCTCTGTAATCAGAGATCGCTTGCATAAACGAGCGTTGGCCTTTGCCGTGTCCTGGGTGAGGGCTCAGCCCTTTGCCCAGCAGCCCTGCCTGTATTGCTGCTTTCACTCCTGCCTGCTTCCCGGCCCCCCACGGGACAGAGGAGCTC